ATTTAACCCAGTATAGTATAAGTACCTAGTAGTATGGACAAAACCAAAATTTTCTTTTAGCCAAACCCATTTCACAGTTCAAACAAGGTTATCTTATTATTATATTATTGTTACCTTATAGACTCAAGAATACATCCATTCCAGACACACAAGACGCTCTGATTTGAATTTACAACATATTTATTTTACCAACCAAACATGTTTTCCTGTGATTTTGTGGTCGCATTTCTCCCCATCTTTTTCCACAACACATTCTGGGTTTTTTTCCACCTCTATGTAATGAAAGTGTGTCCAAATGTCATTTCGTCTTTTTCTTCCAAAGAAGAACCCCGACTGGCTGCCGGCCATCGGTCCTTTTCTCTGTCGCGTTATGATTCTGAAATTGTCGTTCAACCGCAGCTGCAACTTCTAAATGCCGCCCGCGAGTGGGGATTGAGGAAGTGACGTCGCATGCGTCGGCGCAGTGCGACCTGATGATGTGAGACACAGGAAACAGAAATACTGCAAAATAATAATAACTCGACTAAACGAGTCGAAATGACGTTATAACATTTCGTCTCGTCTCGTTTTAGTCAACGAAAATTAAGAGACATTTTAGCAGAGTTTTTATTTTGTAAACCAAATTTAGTCTCGTTTTTATTCGTCAACAATATTGCATTATATATTTAATTATAGTTATCGTCACATGACCAGCATTTACGTTGCGTCTAGTCTCGTTTTCGTCACGTGATAAAGGTTCGTTGACGAAGATATTTAGTCATAATTTTCGTTGACGAAAGCAACACTAGCTACAAGTCACTCTAAGGGGAACATAAATGTGTGTACCAAATTTCATGGTAATTCATTGAACTTTTGTTGTGAGATTTTCATTTAAAACTACAAAAGGACCAAAGGGGTGGACAAACTGACAGACCAACAATGCCTTTCATAGGGCTGTACTGTAACATCGGTCTGTAAAAAGCTTTCAACAAATTGTGTAGGTAGATCGCAGTTAGTTGTTTTGTGTTTTTCCCTATTCTATCATTAAATTGTATTAAGTTTACAAGCCAATCTCTAGTGTTTTAATGTTTTTTTCTGGGATTGTTCCAAACTTGTGGGAGAGCCTTTTTTCTGCATTCTTTTCCCAGTATGGGTACCTGCTGAAGTGGCTCCAGTAGGCTGCCTGTAAATGACATTGGTTCCCCTCCATTGGTCAAATCCTGTGTCCCGGATATGATACTCATGACCATGAGTCAACTCTGTATTCCTAATGGAAACATGTCTGGCTTTAGACTGCATGATGTCCAGCTGTGGGAAGACAGTGCTGAAAGCATTACTACAGTTTCCAACATGGTAATTCCCATATGTTTACATTAAATAATTGGATTTGGTCAGAAGCCATAGCCTCTGAAATATTCCAGAAATTCTTCTTGAAGATTTTCTCAGTGTGTTCCTTGGCAGTGTTGAAAAGCATACTCCAATTTGAAATGATAAAGTTTGTGATAGGCAGTCCACAGCTGCAAAGAGGGGTGTTATTGTAGCCCCTCTGCTGGGAGTGTGCTGCTCTTGGAGCAGTACAAGTGAGTGCAGCCCTGAAATAAGTTTTAAAACACACAATCACTGACTGAAGGCTCCGACACTTACAGGAGCACTAACTTGGGGATGAGATACAAGAGATCAGTTTTACCAGTCTGCACAGCAGCTAGCAGCTCACTCTTTGAATCTGTGAAGATATTCTGTCCCCTGTGTCTGTGTCTATCTGTATGCGCTCTGTAACTGCATATAACAATAATCACATTTCTCCCTACAGTTGTGTGTCTGTATCCTCTCTGTCTGAACAGAAAGGCAAATTCGTCTCGTAGTGTGAAAGGAGTCAATTTTTGTGGCTTTTTTTTTTTTCGGGTTTATCCACTTTTAAAAACTTAACCAATGAGGTCTATCAGCAGAAGTTCAGGGAGCTTGACGTCTGCTCTAACAAGAGCCAGAGAGAGTTCTACAATTGACTTATGGACCTATACAACAAGTAGCTCTTTTACTGTGGTGAGAAAGGGCACATTAAGCTAGAGTGTCCAGTGAGGAAAGCTCAAGCAGCTTATTTTTGTACTGTTCCTTGACCCAGTTAAAGTGAGAATTGTTTAGTAGGAAAACGGCACATCATGACAGGTAAGATCAGTGGTAAACCAACCCAAGGACTTCTTGATACTGGTAGTATGCATACACTAATAGACCCATCACTAGGGGGAGAACCCTAGGAAAGCCAGCAATACTCACAACTGTCCTGCTACTATGGCTGACATCACACCAACAGTATGTTTTGTCAAACTAGAAATAAAGCTGAATGTGTGTGGGCAAGTTATTTAACGTTACCAGACACACAAATGTGACACCAGTACCTGCTTGCTAACCATCCAGTTGTGATTAGCAATCACAAACCCCAATGGGACAAAATAATATTGCAAATACAGTTGCTACTGCTGTCTGTCCCACTTGAAACCAGTCAAACAGATTGACATCGCAAATTTGTTTGAAACTATTGAGAGCTAAATGAAGCACTTGACCACATGGTGCTAACACGTGTCAAGACGTGTTAGCTCATGAGTTTAAGAAGTGCTGGTAAGAAGATTTTACTACAGGCTAGCTCTTCCTACCTGTCTCCAATCTTTATGCTAAGCTAAGCCAAGCTAATTACCTGCTGATTAGCTTTATATTTAGCACAGAGCCAAAAGAGTGCTATCAATCTTATCATGTAACTTTTTTAAAATTGTATTTTTTATGTCAAACTCTTACTTTAATGGCTTGGCCTACATACATGGAAACAAATTGCATTATTTCTTATGTAAATACCTGCTATGGGGCAGCCAAGAAATCAATTTTGGTTCCATCCTGCAATTTTGAACATCATTCAAATATCTTTGTTAAGTTTGCACTCTGTAAGTGAGGTTACAGTCAAAAGGTAGAACATTTCATGAAGTTCTTCAAAACTGTACAGCCAGAGGTTAAAGAACGTCTCTTCTCAGCCTTAGGGTCAGTGTAGCATCATCTCCTCTGTGAGGGAGTCTCTTACAAGTACATTGCTTCTCCCCTGAATGCCTGTGCTCCCTGTGGGCAAAACAATGTGTGTGTGCTTGTGCATGTGTGTGTGCGTGCATGTGTCTATAACAGTGGAATTTTAATGGCTGTCCAGGGAACAGCAGGGCATCACCTGACACAAGCTGCCTCAAAGGAATGACATGCACACTCATCACACTCATCTATACACAGAGCACTTCATAAAGACCTCAGCCAGTAATTTTATATATAGATATAGATACATATCTATAAATCTATATATATAAAACTTCAGACACTGGTTCTGCATGTTAGGTTAGGTTAATTTTTTACCCACTTTTAGTATATAGACATTCAAGAAGGTTTGGTTTTATGAAAGACCTTTGACAGTCTGGAATAGTGTTATCCAGATGAAAGGAAAAGGAGGTATGATTAAAGAGAAAGCAGGTACTTGTGACTCTGGGAACACACACACAAACACACTCCGTTGTGGGAATAGACGCATAATTTATATTCACAGTTGCCATTACACAAGGCTACAGCCCCCACAAGAGACACTATTTATCGAATGTAAAAAATTGGATTGATTGTATTGGCCTAAAAATGTTCTATAGCCTAGTTATGATGAGGTGGTAACTCTGACTCATATTTGACCATTGGTAAAGGTCAACTGTCAATCTGTTAAGTGAACCAGAAGTGATGTGAGACCTGACCTGTAGCGCCCATATTTTTACAGTTAAAGTAAAATGTTACCTTAGTGTTCTCTTAATCTAGAATCTATTTTCATGATATTTCATCGATTGCAAATTTAGGTATTAGAAGTGGCCAGTTTGTTCTAGGTAGATAGACTTATGTGTTTAGCATTTTTGTTACCCTACCAGAGGTGAACAAATTATCCCAGATGTCTCAAATTACATCCTGATGATGTTTTTTTCTCACTGAGAAAGTAAGACTGATTGATTGATTGATTTTCCTTTAACTATTAAAGTGATATTTCACATATTTCACATTTTACATACAATACATCATCTTAAATATAATGTGTTAGCCTAGTGTAGTATACCTGTCTTTGAATAGTTACATAGGTTTATCCATACTACAAATGGGGATGCAGGGATGTAGTATGGCTATGACTGAAAATTTTGAATATTGACAGCCCCAACTGGTACATTATCTATTATCAGTGGCAACAAACTCAAATAATGCTTTGTTTTAACAGCAGAATGAAAAAATGACATTCTAATGGTATCAGAATATATTCAAAGTTAGGTATTGTAATGTTTTGAAATTCTGACTGGTTGGCACTAACAAAAATGCATTCCATGCGTTGACCCTGGAGTGGCTGTTTCTGAAATAACCTATGTTCAGATAATCAGTATCCCTATTTTCTCTTGACATGATCAAATTGTGGTCACAATGGACTAGACAATGTTGCTGGTGCTGTAACTTTATGATTTTGGTAATCAGGTTTAAAGTAAAAATCTTTCCTCATTGAAATATTTGATCTCCTAACCTCTTTGTTATTACTGTCTCATTGGTATGAGTAACACTGAATTGGATACTGCAAATAATCAACACAAAAATCAATATGACTGTCCACAGAGATCATTAAATAAATACCCAGTAACTTTTTTAGTCCCTCATGTGGCAATAAATCTCCGGGACAAACACACGCATGCATACATTCTTGTAGGATTAATTAACTGTATCTTCTTTATTTAGTAATATCTATGCATTATTTCCCCTCCAGTGAGGTTTTACCTAATAGGCTTCCATACTTCATCAAAGACTGACACTTGTTTGAACCTGTCTGGTTGGCTAGAGTTGCAAAGCGCTTGCGGTCTGCCACAGATCTACAAAACGTCCTGATTGCATATCCATCTGGAACTACAAGAATCTCCATATCTATGTGTCCCATCCAGAGTCCACATTCCTTTCAATTCAGCCTGCCAGGGGGCGTGCACTCTGAAAGTCAGTCTTTTCACAGTACACCAGCAGGGACACTTAAGCCACCGAGAGAGATTCACAATGGCTCCAGCACTGAATTACACATCCATTATCTTGTGTGGTATTTATATTTTTTCGCTGCTTTTTGCCAGTGTCTTTTGCGACGCCGTAGAAGAAGAAGATGAGCATGCCAAGCACTTATACACAGTGGAGATGTTCAACGAAGCTGTGCCTACCGCACCCCACTTTGTCATGTTTTACGCCCCATGGTAAGTAAAGGTTACTAAGTTTTTCCAGACGACGTTGAATAAATGAATTGGCATTAACATCAGGCTTTCTTTAATATATCCCACATGCACAGAAAATGGAAAGGTCTGCCAGTTATAGTTACAGTTAAGTGGTACATTAGCCAACGTTAGCATGCAAGCTAGTTGCTTACGCGGCCCCTTTTGGGAACGTGTGGTTAGCTTAGCAGCTAACTAGCATAGCCAAATGATTTGCTAGTCAACTATTTTAACGGATTGAAGCACTTTTAGGGGCCTCGGTGCTAACAGTTCGCTCCTCGGTGCTAACAGTTAGCTATCTGTTGGAATTTAATTGAAAACTTTGTAGTGAATGTTCAGCGGGGTCTGAAACAATACAACGCAGTTTGTTGCGCTATGCTTATCCACTGCAATTGATGAAAATAATCAGTCACCGTTCCAAGTTGTAGTTTGGGAAGCTTACGTGGCACTTACCGATTGACCAGTGTTTACAGCAGTTCTAAAAGTAGGGTCCACGGACCTCCAGGGTCACGGGTCTCCCTCAGGTTAGGTATCTCTTTTACCAAACGTTTGTCTAATACCCTGACTGGTATTCTTATAATGGATTATGTAACCTCAGAGTTGCACATAGGGCTTTTCTGCGTATTCTACATTTGCACTAAATAGCCTACTACGGCAACAAAGCATCATTATCAACAGGTTTCAGCTTGAGTTTCTGACCTTTTTTTTCCCAATGACATGGATGCACATTATTTGTGTCTGTATTCATTAGGGAGTAATATGCATGGTGACAGTTATTCTTACTTATGCCTGAAACATTATATGAAAATAAAGCTCCATGTGTCTTTCTGAGCTGACTAGTAGGAATCTTGTTCCTTTACCAGTTCCTCCAGGATTTCGCAGGCTTTTTTGTTTCTGTTCTTTTTTTGGGGGGATTGTTGCCAGCTAAAATACCTGACTTTGTGGTTGCCTCTCTTAAAAATTGCAATGAATGTTGCAATGTTTTAGATGTTTTTTGCAATGAAACTGTGGGAGAAAATACAAATTGCAAAGATTGTCACTACATTAAAAATCATAATAACAATAACAATTCATTAAAAATCAAAGGCAACTTGTACCAATGAGAATAAGTCCAGTGCAGGGCACTTCATCACCAGTGAATGATGAATGAAAGAATGTTTTCTGTCTTTTCGTCTTTACTTATTAACAATTTAATTTACTGAGCAGCTCTGAGGCTACCAGCATCTTTTAACGTGGAATTTGTGTGTTACTTGATGTTTGATTAACATTCGGAAATCAATCAATACACTAGAAAGCTGGAGTACCCAATCTGTTTCAGAATCACTTCCTGTTATATTTCTTTAAATTCTCTGAATATCCCGATAACAATGAATAAATGCTCTGACAGTAAACAGAAGTCCGTCCACTGTGGCAGTCACAGCTATAAAAACTCCAGCCAGAATGCAATGCAGAGAAAGTACAATCAGTTCCACTTAAAGGTATAATGTGTAAGATCGTGCTACTTGATCCACCTCCAAAGGGGGCAGCGTTTCACCTCTTTGCCCCTGTCCAGTTAATCATGTTGTTGTTTTTCCCTTATTCCTTGTAATTTATCATTTATATGTGTATTTATTGTTGATAGTTAAAAATGTTGATAGCACTGAAACAAATTATGAGTACTTGTAATACAAACAGTATGTTTTTATTTACCTATAAAAATATGAAGGCAAGGGGATATTGCATGACACATGGGTGTCAGGCTACAGCAGCATGAGGAAGGGATGATGACAGCATCACAAAGGCAGAATCAGAAAGTAAGGTTTATTGCCAGGTAGGTTTTTACTTACAAGATATTTGGCTTTGTGTTTGGTGCAGTATACAATAAACATATTAACAAGAAATAACAATGAAAAGGTAAAATACTGCAACAGTCAAAAAGATAAATATACATAGATACACATATTCAAAAAAATAAAACAATGAAAAAAACTATGTACAAAAGTGTTGACAAACTCCTGCTGAGCAGGATGTGCAAAAGATCACAGTATACACAATATCTATTCTGTGCAGGAATAATACTCCAAGGTGTTACTGTAATGTGGTTGTTGATGATCGGTGAGGTCAAACGCAGAAAAAAGGGAGGTGCCGGTCCATCACTGGGGATGACTGGACTGGAATTCTGGTCGTGATACAGACAAACATGTGATAGGACAATTAGTTTAGATCATATACATTCTTTGTATTCAAACATGTTAGGTATGTTGTGTATGTATATAATAAATAGTAAGGATAGATATGAATATGCTAAAATAAATACAGTATTTGGCAGTGGATCATGAACCTGCTGGTTCTGGATCGAAAAGTCTTTGTCTAAAAAAAAAAAAAAAAAAAAAAAAAAAAAAAAAAAAGAAGTTTCACCCATGTGCTAGCTTGCTTCTTTGCCGTTGAACGTGGTGTCTTGTTCAGCAGTTCTTCGGGATGGAGATAAAGATCACTTTCTAGGTGCTTCAGACATCTCTGTGTTTCTGTGATGCTTGTTGGCAGCTTTTTTTTTTTTTTTAAGTCAGGAGTTGTAGTGTAACTTCAAGCTCAGGAGGAAGATCTTCTCCGTGGGACTGAGGGCAGACTAGACGCTACACTGATTTACACACGGGTTTTCCTGGCCGAAAATTAGGCGGGGGTGGTACTAAGGAGGACATAACATAAACGAAAATACAGGACAAATTACGTCCCGTATTTATTCAAATCCACCAAGTACTGAGAAAACAAGTACTAGAATTTTGTCAAGAGGCGGCACGGAATTTGAAGGAGGCGGCCACCTCCCAATTCTCTATGCAGGAAAAGCCCTGCACACAGCATCTAGTGTGTCTAGGTGGTATTACGACACAGTCCAGGACACGGCTAGTTGGTTAGCATGCTCATTTCAGTAGATATCTCTGAAATGCAATAGATCAGGGGTGTCAAACTCATTTTCACAGAGGGCCACATCAACATATAATGGTTGCCCTCAAAGGGCCAGATGTAACTTTGAGGCAGTATAAATGTAGCTAAATGTAACTAAATGTAATGTAAAATAAATGCAACTACTCCTTAATGTTAAATAACTCTAGATTTTTATTATTCAACTTACAAATATTACATATATATTTGCAGAAATGTAAAAAGAAATGTTGTTCTGTTATTACATAAATCCTTTTAATTTGTCAGCTTATGAAACCCACATATACTACATCAATCAACGATCAAACTATCCAAGTGAATAAGGATAAATAACAAGTTATGACATTAACTTTGTTCAAAACTTTTTTGTCATAGTTGAGAGTGGCTCTCTTGAACACATCCTGCTGCGATCGCAATTTGCCTTTTAATTCTTGCACCATTTGTTGTTTTTCTTGAAGGCTCACTTTGGTATACTTAGCTCCGTGTTTGGTGTCAAAATGCCGACGTAGATTGTACTCTTTGACAACCGCCACTGCCTCATAACACAAAAGACATACCGGTTTTTCTCCTTGAAGCACAAACATATATTTGCCTTCCCATCTTTCTTGAAACAGCCTTCCATCTGCATCAATTTTTCTCTTCCTGGACATTTTGGGATCATTGTTTGTATTTCTTAATTTGGAAAATGGCACTGATGTGGAAACACTGCAATCTAGTGGCGGGATGCCGTCACTTCACGGGTAACATGATCAGCATGCATTATGGGAAATGTAGTTTATGGTCAATGCACCCTTTTGACTTATTTATTATAAGATAATCAGACCTTTTAAGCTCTCGCGGGCCACATAAAATGACGTGGCGGGCCACATTTGGCCCACGGGCCTTGAGTTTGACACATATGCAATAGATGATGGTCTTGGTCATGACATCGTCACTGTGGCTCCTTCACATGCTATTGATGGTGTTACTTTTTTGAACATTTTAAACCAAAATGTTCAAAATACTGTCTGGAATTTCCGTGCTGCCTCTGTCTCCCGACAAAATTCTAGTACTTTTTTTTCTCTGTACTTGGTGGATTTGACGTTTGTAACTGCAATTGCGGCTGTACGCCACTATGGCAATGTAGTGGTGCTGTATCATAATCCGTGCATCAGGCAGAGCCATCTGAGCTTCCTCCTGAGCTTGAAGTTACCTATGTGTCATGCAGTATCCCCTTGCCTTCATATTTTTATAGGTATTTTTTGGTCCTACCAAAGCATCTTGTGCCTGCCCTCTAAGAAGTGCCATAAATGGCAAAAATACATTCCTCAAAATTTGGTGAAAAGATTCTCACCAGAATTGCTAGACATGTTCTGGAGGTGAGTATTAATGAGAATCTGAAGTGCCATATTGATTGAAAGTGGGCAGGACCTATTCATCAATATGTGCCATCTTAAGCTTTTGTTCAATTTGCAAAGAGCTGGAATGAGCCAGACAAACGAAAATTGGTATCATAACTCTAAATGGTGAGTTAATGCTTCACAAAAAATATGATCCCATTCGTCCATATGGTGACGCAATTATTAAGAGTCAAAATTGTCAAAATTGTACAAAATTTGAAATGTTGCACCCGCCACACCGAGAGTCCCATTGTCTTCAAATATACCTTGCAGCTACAAGTCAATATTTTTACTTTTTTATTTTTTATTTTTACTTTAATAATACCAGATTTGGTACATAGCCTTGGTTGACTGAGGGGCACATTTCTATTACAAATGAGCAAGATCGGTCAAAAAACATGGCCACCACAGACCGAAATATTTTTGCGAAGGGCGGGACTTAGCTAATATTGGCCATAACTCATTAACAATTTGTTTGATCATCATAAAACTTGGTAGATATCTTCAGGTTGTTAAAGTGAGTAGGTCTACCAAAGCATTAAGTAGCTAATATTCTGCTGCTTCTCTCAGTTGAGGGAAGAATGGTTAGAACCCGCGAATTGCCGCTTGCGACTATGTGTACACATAACGTGGCCTTGTATGTAATCTGTGTGTGTGAATGGCACGTTTGTGTTTTGAGTTTTATTTAGTTGTGTGAGAGACTCCTCAACTTCCACACCTTTTGATGGACAGATTGATGAGACCACCACCCCCACTCCACCTCCACCATTTTATCAGTTTCTTTCCCAGTGCAACTTTATGTGATAGAGAAGTAGCTTAGATCTTCCAACCTCTTAAAAACAGGTTGCTGGCGACCCGTTTACAATTGTGTAAACACATAAGGTGTTTGTCATTGTAATTGTTTAGATTACTGCTAATCATATGCATCCCTCTTTCGTGTGTAGCTTGTTTGTTTTACATATATAAGGGTACTCCTCACAATACTTCCTGGAAGGTCTAAAATGCAAAACAATGTAATATGTGTGACTGATAGTAAAAGAAAAACAGTGTAGCTAGTTTGACAGCATTGAGTACAAGCAATAGTCATGTTGGTTGTTTACATTCATTATGATAGTCCTAGATGTTTGGTTACTTGTGAATGAGCCATTGCGTATTTGGAGATCACAACCACAATCTCCGCCAAGCTCTCTGTCTCTCATTGACTCCAGCAGACCGTGTTCGTGTGTTTTAGGGGAGTGGCTCTAGAGGGATGCCTGGGGGAGGGGGTGAGAGTTTTTTGGTTGTATACTTTCAAAATCTAGCTAATTCAGGTTAAGAGCTCCCAGATTGACCATTTCATTTGTTTTTATTAGCTCTCTACATGACATACACTAAAGTGATGATTGGATCTTCAGAGCTCTTCTGATCTTAAAATATTTATAATAATCAACCAGATTATGTGAACTGTAGATGTTTTATTTCACCTGGAGATAAAAGTAGCAGAGCGTCGTTCTGGTGCGCTCTGGCAGCTCTACACCTGTGGTTCCACGACAATGTTGCACGTGGTACAAACCAATTTAGCCCTGCTTTTGTGCAAAACATCGGGGAACTGCTTTACACAGTCTTCAACAGTAATTTTTGCTGGTAAATGTGAGACGTTTATGTCACATATGTCTGCAGCTTCAGAACATGCTTCAAAGCCAGAAACAAGGAATTAAGTTTGGTGATGTACTTCAAGGTAATTTGCAGTGACTGGTATGATTGGTTGAACTTGTAGCAAACTATGATGATTTTTGATCAAATTTGCAGAAAAGTTGGTCATCACGGGGGTTGGTTGAATTTGCATTAATTATTGCGATTGCAACTTTCCAGAGGGACTACTTTATTAATTTTAAATAATAATTTTTATTGTTAGGGTTCAAAGCCTGATTGGGCTGTGGGCCACGCACTCAAAGCAGTGTGGCTCCAGGAACCCTATTGCAATTGCTCAGGTTTTTAGGGGTCCAAGCAGCTTAACTTCTGAAACCCTGTTGTCTTTGTTTTCATTATTGTTAAGGGTTCGAGTATGTGTTTGCATTCCCTAAATTTAGCTGAATGTCATGTACATTTCCACAAAGGATTTTTTTGTCTTGGAAAAATTGTGAAATATGCAAAAGAAATTATAATTTTTCCAAAGTAAGCTGTAAGTGTGATTTGCATGAAACTTTAAATGTGTCATAAATGTCCTAAAATGAGCACAAGTTCTTAAAAGAGATTTTATACTTTATACTACAAAAATACTTAAGTTATAAAGGACAAACCTGTACTCATACAAAGATAGTGATGATGTATCTTTACATAGGTGTATCTAATTAACACAGAACTCCACAAAGAGGTTTTGTACAAACCTTTCTGTACACAGGCCACTAGGTTGTGCTTCTACATAAAGTTTGACTCCTCAGATTTCCTAGAGCTGCCTGCCAGCCAATCTGAGCAGCAAAGAAAGGCCTTGGCAACGGAGGTCCCCAAGAACCAATGGCAACTCTGGCTGAGATCCAGATGTGAAAATGAATGAAACTTCCAGCTATCACTGCACCACTCCACCAGTCTGGCCTTTATGGCAGAGTGGAGAGTTGAAGCATCTCACATAGAAAAACAAACTTTTCTACCAGATTATGTTCAGTTTGTCCTGAAAATGTTAATCTGTGCATGTCTAACGCCAAAAGCAGTTTATTCTGAGTTTCCATCAGGACAGTGATTCTACACACACAGCCAGAACAACAAAGGAGAGGCCTATGGAGATCTCTGTGAATGTTGTTGAGTGGTCCAGCCAGATCCCTGACTGGCTGAACAGAATGGCAGAAAATTCCCAAAACCAGGTGTACAAAGCTTGTCGTGTCATACTCAAGAAAACTGCAGGCAGTAATCACTGACAAAGTTGCTTCAATGAAGTACTGATTAGTAGAGGGTCTACAGTATGTCAATGTGATATTTCAGGTTTTCCTTTTTAATGAATTTGCCAAATGTCTGCTTTCACTTTGTCATTATGGGGTATTGAGTTTAGATTGATGAGGTGAAAAAAAAAAACTTTAAATGATTTTAGCATAAGGCTGTATCATAACAAAATGAGAAAAAGTTAAAGCTGTCCAAACACTTTCTGAATGCACTGTTTTCACCACTGTTGTATCCAGGTGCGGCCATTGTCAGAGATTGCAGCCGACATGGAATGAAATGGCAGACAAATACAACAGCATGGACGAACCCCCTGTTTATGTGGTAAAAGTAGACTGCGTCCAGGACACCAAATTCTGCTCCAATGTCCATGGGGTTAGAGGGTACCCTACGTAAGTACAAGAGTCACATCAACTAAGGTAGTTAATCAGTTCATATCAATTCATTGGCATGGATGAGGTCAGCTTGGACATTTTGAATTTTTAAGCCAACTAACAAACTGAAAATCATGAAAAATTATACACTAGCCATGACATATAGGAGAAAAACAACTCATACATGTAAACATTCATTTTTATCACTGATTGACAGAGAAGTGATAAATTGACTTGCATAAAGTTGAATATTCTGCCAGTATCTTAATGACATCCTCTTAAATCTTGGCTATTGCTCACTGTGTACTCTACATGCAAACACAGCAGTCACTTGGGTAATAATTTACAGAATTTCTTTAACAAAACACTACCAGGTCCTATATCTTGAAATTATGAACTTAAGACCTGAATCATAACTATGCCATGCTACAATTCTCTCAATTCAAAATGTTTTTTGTGTTATGTGTAGTCTGAAATTGTTTAAGCCAGACCAGGAGGCAGTTAAGTACCAGGGGCCCAGAGATCTGCATTCCTTGGAGACCTGGATGCTTAAGACAGTCCAGGAGGAGCCTTCGGTGAATATTGTTCATTTGATTAACACCAACAAGTTTATAAACCAGTAACACGTAAAATGTAAGAACAGTGTTGTTTATAGATGCTTGTTCATGTGTGCCCTCCAGGAACCAGAGAGTGAACTAGAGCCTCCCAAAGCCCCAGAGCCCAAACAGGGCATGTATGACCTCACTGCTCTCAACTTTAAGGCCCATATAGCCAAAGGTAGAGATGTAATATGAAATATGCTGTTAAATGCTTCATGAAAATAGTGTTGTAACAGCTAAGTTAGGCAAATTAGTAGATAAATTCATCTTGTGTATTTACACAGCTGTATCCTGCCTTAACAGATAAACTGTTTCTGTTTTGTCTTCATTTTTAAACATACTTTAAGTTTCCAGGCAGGTTTTCAGGTTGTGATTCTGGATCCTTTGTTAGAGAATGAAAACTCCTTGCCTTGATTTACATAACTGACAGTTCAACACAAGAGCCTGAACCACAATCTGCAACACCCCTCAATGTAACATGTTTCTGTATTTTCAGACGACTAATTGTCTCTGTGAAATTATGTTCTTTAAGCTCTGCCGAAGTTGAATGTTTTGGTTTTGAAGAAAAATAAATTATTCATGTTTGGAGACAAAAAAATGCAGGATATGACATAGGCAACAGTATTTATAGGTCCCACCTTCAAATCTTGGCAACAGAGCTGCAATAAACATTGTGTAATTGGTTGAGTAAAACCTCAGGGTAAGAGGTGTATAATGTCACATAGAAATGGGTACACACAGACAGGCATTTTACTTTAAATTTACTTATTGTATTACTTTATATTCTTCTTTGTTTTGTATTTGTGTTCAATTTCCTTGCCATTTATCTGCAATTTCTTTTTCTCATCCTTTTCTCTTCTTTTTTCAGGTGCTCATTTTGTTAAGTTCTTTGCCCCCTGGTGCGGCCACTGCAAAGCCATGGCCCCAACCTGGGAACAGCTGGCTACCACCTTTGAGCAATCTGATGACATCAAGATTGGAAAAGTGGGTCATTCAGATTATGTACAGATTCACAGGTTCTTGCTACAAATATTAAATAATTAGTCAGATATTAAAACAATCAAGCACCATATACTGTGACATGGGTAAAATCAGGGCAACTACCAAAGTAGTTGTGTTAATAATAATGGCTACCTTCTCCACAAAAAAAGGTTTGCTGTCTGTTTTAACAATATCAGCTGCCTTTTGTGAGGGTCTTGAAAGAGTTTTGAAAAACAGTGCTCCGTTTACTTTTTCATTGCAAGTAACTTTAAATTAAACACCAGAATTTCTTTCCAGTTCTTTGTTTGTCAGAACAGGATGCTGGTCATATGAAAAGCCACCTCATTGTATTCTGGGTTATTAAACAAGCACTTTCTGAGCAAATTTGTAGGGTGTGCATTTATGTATCATAGTTTAATAACGATGTTTATGCATTTATGGCCTAGGTGGACTGTACACAGTACTATGAGGTGTGTTCTGACAACGGTGTACGGGGGTATCCCACACTGCTCTTCTTTTACAATGGACAGAAGGTATGGAAGTTTTGGACGAGTGGTAACTCTTCATTCTTAAATGAGTTCTGCATGCACAGCCATTTGACTTGAACTGTGGCCTGCCTCCGTCTGACCTGCTGCCACTGTGACTGTCATGTCACAGTGGCAGCAGGTCAGACTTAGAGATAAGACTTAGAGATAAGATTTACTGCAATCTTCCATGACATTACATCATAATGGGATTACTAAAGACATAAATATACAGTATATATGGGAAAACTAGCATGTTAATGACAAAGCCATGATGTATGTTTACACAGCTGTCACTAAAGATTTGATAATGATCAATCAACATTTCGCTTCAGCTAAAACTACGGCATTTGGTTTTGCTATGTGTTGCGTTTTAAAGACTTATGCATATAATTGTCGCTGTAGGTGTGGTGTAGCAAATACCCCACACTGATTGATGGGGCCTAACTACACGTTGTTGCGACACAGACAACTATGATTGATTGGCTTTGTCACTTTGTTGTTATTATTAATAGCTTCTAACAGATTAAGTTTGTGGGTGTAGCTGATGATGCACACACATGTGTGTGTGTGTGTGTGTGTGTGTGTGTGTGTGTGTGTGTGTGTGTGTGTGTGTGTGTGTGTGTGTGTGTGTGTGTGTGTGTGTGTGTGTGTGTTTCTGTCTGTAGACAGAACAGTACAAAGGAAAAAGAGACCTAGACTCTTTCAAAGACTTTGTTAACAACCAGCTGAAGGCTGCCATCGCTGAAGAGCAGGAACCAAGGGAAGAACAAAAACCAAACGAGTTGCCCACTGATGAGCCAGAAAAAGCAGAGGTTAAGGTGGGTGTGAACAACCAAAAGAAAAAACATACACAAGAACGATTTTCATGTTTTCTATGTGTATTTACATGGAATTTTTTAGCTGGCACCATGGATCTACAGATGGCTGCAATGCTGGTTAAGCAGGTGTTCATAAATTCAAAATAAGGCAATTATTGATGTACTCAGTGGTGACATTTTACACAGTTTATCGCTGATAGGTTTTTGACACCGTATCGTCGTATCGCATCGTCTCGTCGTCTCCCGCTTATCCGGATCCGGGTCGTGGGGGCAGCAGCCTCAACAGAGAGGTCCAGATGGCCCTCTCCCCAGCCACTTCCATCAGTTCCTCCGGGAGAATCCCGAGGCGTTCCAAGGCCAGCTGAGAGATATAATCCCTCCAGCGTGTCCTTGGTCGACCTCGAGGTCTCCTCCCGGTGGGACATGCCCGAAACACCTCCCCGGGGAGGCGTCCAGGAGGCATCCTCACAAGATGTCCGAACCACCTCAACTGGCTCTTCTCGACATGGAGGAGCAGCGGCTCTACTCCGAGTCCCTCCCAGATGACCGAGCTCCTCACCCTATCTCTAAGGCTGAGCCCGGCCACCCTGCGGAGGAAACTCATTTTGGCCGCTTGTACTCGCGATCTCGTTCTTTCGGTCATTACCCAAAGCTCATGACCATAGGTGAGGATCGGAACGTAGATCGACCGGAAAATTGAGAGCTTCGCCTTCCGGCTTAGCTCCCTCTTCCCCACAACGGACCGATTCAGCGCCCGCATCACTGCTGATGCCGCCCCAATCCGCCTGTCGATCTCCCGCTCCATTTTTGACACCATATTTGAAAAATTATTCTAATGTTAGCAGGCATTAACATGCAGTTGAATGCTGATATTAAAGCAAGCTACAGCCCATACATTGGTACCTTCAGTGGGAGTCCGATTTGCATGAGAAGCTGCTTAAAAATATTACAGAATAGCTCTTGATGTCTTATAAATAAGTATACATCTATGAACCTCCACTGTGACTACCCTGATAAAGTCTGTCACACTGTTTCATATTTGCCATTTAATCAAACACATGTAAAGATTTTAATGTGAACATCAATGGTTACCAAAAAAAGTAGATCCACCACCCAAACTGTTAAGAGTTTATCTACATTTTGTATAGGAGCAGCTTAATATCAGAGTTTCTATTCCTTTCCTGTCTACAGTCCAGCGTGTTGGTGCTGACAGAGGACAATTTTGATCAGTCAGTGGCCAAGGGCTTCACCTTCATTAAATTCTATGCTCCATGGTAAGCATTTTTTGGAATAAGTGACATTTAAATCACACAGATATTAATATATAAGTTGAATTTAATTGCTCAATCAATGTGCCACAGAGTTGACCTGAATGACTTCTTATATGATTCTTCGAGTGCCTACATAAGAGTTTGAGTTTGATGTTATCCTGCTCTCTAGGTGTGGCCACTGTAAGAACCTCGCTCCGACATGGGAAGATCTTTCCAAGAAAGAGTTTCCCGGCCTCACTGATGTCAAGATAGCCAAAGTGGACTGCACTGTTGAGCGCACACTCTGCAACAAGTACTCTGTAAGTATGTGGATGTCTTACTAAAATGACAGAGAAAAGCAAGACTGCTCTCACCAATGTCCTTGCCCTAAAAATGAAATTAAAATCAGCACCGTGGGATTACTTTGGATATCCCAAAAACTAACCTGGGGTTTTCTTCAAGGACAAATATCCAGTTTTCAAAAAATGTGGACGCAAAGTGGCTGCCAAAGGAAGAAACACTCCAAACTTTATTATATTTTCCCATCTTCAAGAATACCATTGCTCCATGCAGATCAAAGTATGTGTCCCATTTATAACCTTGATTCTCCAACGCAAAAATGTGGGAACGCTAAAATGTTGATCATGAAATGTGCTGCAAAGAAGTCCAAAGAAGAGAAGACATAAAGTTAATGACATGCAGTAGTGCAATATAAATGCATGGGGAGAGAGAAGAAGAGAGAAGTACTAAGTGTGTCATAGGGGTTCCCCCAGCACTCTAGGCCTATAGCAGCACAACTAAGGGTTGAGCCAGCCCTAACTAAAAGCTTTATATAAAGTGGACAATTTTAAGACTAATCCTAACCCATTTATACCGGATGCTGCGCAGCGCAACATTGCCCCTCCTGCTGGTTGCTGCGCAGCGCAACATTGCCCCTCCCGCCGGTTGCTGCGTAGCGCAGCATTGTTGATTCCTCGTCATTTTCATGACGCATGCAGCATATAAATATGTAAAATATGTATAAATATATCATGAAAATGATGAGGAATCAACAATGCTGCGCTACGCAGCAACCGGCGGGAAGGGCAATGTTGCGCTGCGCAGCATCCAGTATGAATGGGTTAAAGGAGGGCACCTACCTCCCAAACCAAACTGGGAGCTGGTTCCACAAGACAGGAACCTGATAGCTGAAGGCTCTGCCTCCCATTCTACTGTTAGAAACTCTAGGCCTGCATTTAGATGGTGTTCTGTTGGGATAGCACGGTCATTGGTCATTAACAATGATAAATGTACAAACACATAAAAATTCATGAGTTCCAGTGAGCCACAGCACCACAAAAACATTTATAGAAGGGTATAAAAGGTGTATAAGCGAGTGGACAGAGCTGTTGGACCAAACTGAACATAGTTTGTTGTGGACGCAGACATGAAGGAGATGATGGCCACACAGAACCACAGTGGGCCCTCCGCCTGCACCACTACGCTGATCACCAAACAGCGATATCACTATTGATCTCGCTCACGCTCTCACTCTCACTCCCTTCTCCTCTCACCCTAGCAGCTCAGTAGGTAGCCCAGGCCACCGGGAATCTTCCTGTGCCTACTGATTAGTCAGTCAGTGCCTGGTATTCCCTGTTGTTTGTTTGCTTAGTTGACTGCTGCTCTGCTCACGTTTTAGAGAATGTAACATTAATGACGTATCTACTGTTAATCAAAGTGTAAATTTTCATGATCCAACACATCCGAGTTTTGCACCAGAACATTTCAAGTGTCACCTTAAATGATAAAATAAAAACTAAAACTACAGTAACAGCATGAGAAGGCATGCTCCATTGCTGTCACTGCTCGGTTCAGTTTGTCATTTGCTAAGTGATAGTAAAACTAGAAAATTCCTGGAGAAATTTTTAATATGCCTGCTGCTTGTAGTGTTGTTTTTGATGGCCTGTTTAAATTTTAGTTTTAGTCTAGTCTTTGTGTCAAGCTGTCATTTTAGTTTTTATTAGTTTTACTCATGTTCATACTCTTTAGTCTAGTCAAGTTTTAGTCGACTAAAAGTCTGAGCATTTTAGTCTTATTTTAGTCAGAATCATCCATGACTATTTTAGTCTAGTTTTAGTCAACGAAAACTGATGACATTTTAGTCTAGTTTTAGTCAATGAAAATTTTATTTTAGTCTCTTTCTAGTAATGCAATTCTATTTAACCCAGTATAGTATAAGTACCTAGTAGTATAGCCAAACCCATTTCACAGTTCAAACAAGGTTATCTTATTATATTATTGTTACCTTATAGACTCAAGAATACATTTCCATTCCAGACACACAAGACGCTCTGATTTGAATTTACAGCATATTTATTTTACCAACCAAACATGTTTTCCTGTGATTTTGTGGCCGCATTTCTCCCCATCTTTTTCCACAACACATTCTGTTTTTTTTTCCACCTCTATGTAATGAAAGTGTGTCCAAAAGTCATTTCGTCTTTTTCTTCCAAAGAAGAACCTCGACTGGCTGCCGGCCATCGGTCCTTTTCTCTGTCGTGTTATGTTTCTGAAATTGTCATTCAACCGCAGCTGCAACTTCTAAATGCCGCCCGCGAGTGGGGATTGAGAAAGTGATGTCGCATGCAACGGCGCAGTGCGACCTGATGAAGTGAGACACAGGAAACAGAAATACTGCAAAATAATAATAACTCGACTAAACGAGTTGAAATGACGTTATAACATTTCGTCTCGTCTCGTTTTAGTCAACGAAAATGAAGAGACATTTTAGCAGTTTTTATTTTGTAAACCACATTTAGTCTCGTTTTTATTCGTCAACAATATTGCATTATATATTTAATTATAGTTATCGTCACATGACCAGCATTTACGTTGCGTCTCGTCTCGTTTTCGTCACGTGATAAAAGTTCGTTGACGAAGATATTTAGTCATAATTTTCGTTGACGAAAGCAACACTAGCTGCTTGTTACGTGTACTTCACTCCTCTCTACAATAAAGCTATACCCCTATATCCCCATATAGATGATAGCTTCTAAGATCATACTTTTATGACCTACCTTACCTCTTACCTTTTTGAGACTCTTATTTTTAAAGTGTCTGTGCTTCTGTGATTGGCAGTGTGAACTGCACTCTTACCATGTTGGGACTTTTATTTTGAAGGTTAATCCAATTTGTAGAGATGGTGTTTGTATGTATATGTATATGTATATATATGTATATGTATATATATATATATATATTAGTGAAAAGACATCAGTAGAAGTAAATCAGTGTAAAAATTTTCGATTTTCTGTGTTACATTTGAAAATGGGGAGAGAGGGGTAAAATATGTTATACGGTTATAATAATATATGATAAAACAATAAGATTAAAGAACATATTTAGGTTACCAGTTTAGCGTTAACGCCATAATTTAGAATTTACTCTTGGTGAAATGGGGTACCAGTCCTCTGGGAGGACAACAATGAATTACTTCATTGATAAATTTATCAATCTCATATCAGAAGTCTTGACTTCTCGATTCAATGGATCTCCAGTCTCTACGTCAAAAGAACACAACAGGACACAACTGGGTATAAATAAAGGAGTTTTTTAACTAAACTACTATCTACAGAGTAAATGCAAGGTGTAATAATCATAAAGATGAAAATAATAATGAAATGAGCAGTGTGATGAGTTGGCAATGGTGGAAAAGAATATGTTACGGCTATACACTATGGCTATACAGCTAATGATACTACGTCGACAAATGAGATTTGATGATTAAATATTACTATATTTCGACATCAACCCAGTCATGAGCAGAGTGTTAAGACTGGCCTACTGTGAGTTGCGCTGTAGCTGAGGATCCTTGGCTGGAACCCAGGTGGCTGTGGTTGCTGCGGTAACCCTGGAGACGCGGGATCTAGGTGGATTCTCCTGGAGGCCATGCCCTGTTATCATAGTGATGGATTCTGCCGGTGTCTCAGCGATTCAGCTCTGGTGGAGTTTGCCAGGAGACTTTCTGTCTCGCGCACTCTTGATTTCTGGTCGGCTTCTCTGCAGGTGGTCGTGCAGATGTGTTATCTGCTGGCGTCTCTTGCGGCTTGATGCGAAATAAATTCTAATGCTATTCACTTTGGCTGGATAACTTTAGAGGAGACTGGCGTTGACCAGATGACTCTAAAGTTGTCAAAAAGCTTCAAAAAGGAAAACTTGATAATAATTAAAAGTTGCAAAATTACTCTGAGGCACTTCTGTTGTTTTGGTTCAGTTGGTCTTGACTTGGCTTATGAAAATAAAAGATCGTGCGTGTAGACAAAATAATGTTAATTGGAGCACATGGCAAAGAAAGAATAAAGGACACAGACAAAACGATAAAGTGCAAAAATGGCTAAGAGCCTTGGCTAAGAGTTTGGAACTACATAGGTACAGAGCGATTGAGCAAGGTTTTTCAGCTTCTAGCTTTCTAGCCTTCTCTAGCTTCTCCCAGTTTCTAGCAATGTGTGAATTGATCACAACTGTTTTATCTCCTGGGAGTGGCGCATGTTTCAGGGGCATAACTCGTCTCGTGTTTCAACTTGGACAAGAGAGTAATTTTCCACGTAACTTTTGAATAGTTCTAGAGTTTACCTATAAACTTGCACATCCGTCTTCCACCATGACCACAAAACATATAAAGCTAATGGCACTAATAATGATAGACAGGAGTAATGCAAGTGTTGATTTCATATTACATCCTTCAAACCTGGAATTAATCATAATACAAGTGGTTAACTGATCAAACAACAATATAAACATTTCCTAAAGCTAATAGTCTATAAATGCGGATTACATAGCAGGTCTTTGACTGTAATAATAATAATATGGACATTCTGGATGTCATGTAGTGTGTGTTACCTTGTGTGAAGGATGCTGATAGTATGGTCACATGAAGGACAGTCTTAAAATCTACATGTTACATTTCAAACATTCTTTGGGATTGAACTATTACATAGAAACATCTCATGAGTTACAGAACAGTTAGATTTAATTATATATTCTTCCTCAGATCTGTGTCTGTGAAGAGTGTTCTGCTGGTCACTACGCAGGATTGGAATGTGGGTTGTAGTTTATGACTCTTATCTGGAGAGGGACAGAGGAAGGGAGGTTGGTGTGTGTGGTGTGTGTGTCCATGCATGGCACAGAGAGGCCAGGATTCACACCTTAGTGATAATCAGTCCTTTTGGTGTTACTTGTCCTATTTTAAAAAAAAAAAAAAAATCAAATGTCATTGACAGAGTCTTATTGTTACAAACTGGAAATTTTGCCTATATTCTTCAGTTGCCTGGTGTCCATTTGTTGATCCTGTGGAGCTGACCCTTTGGCCCATGGTCTGGTTCTGTGTCTCTCTGACATGCTAAAAGCATGGTCTGTTTGTGAGAGAATGGTCCTTTGTCTCTATTTCCTATCAATTTGATAGTTTGACGGTAGGAAGAGTAACAAAGTGTCAGTTTTGGGTCCGTAACTCTGCATGTCCTTACAATGAACTTTAATGGCTTGTGACTGACGCCAGGCCAGGTATGTACGCTACACCAGATCTATCAGTTCCCAGGTGAGAACAGCAACGAAATCAACCAATTAATTGTAGTTAGGCTCTTTGGAGCCTGAGCATACACCTGAACAGTTTAAAGTTTGAATGAAGTCTGTAGCTGAAAGTATGCTGAAGTAGTTAAAGTTCAAAAAGGCTGAAGCTTTCAAGGATTTGAACACGGTCTCCATTAATTTGAATGGCCAAAAAAAGCTTAATATTTCAAAAATTATAAATGATATTAAAAAGTTGAATTTATCCGATAATCTATAGAAAAAGCCGAACATTTTGATAGTTCAACGGTTTTGTAGGTCAAAGTATGAAAGAGTAGTTATGTATAAGAATAATAATTAGAAAATGCATTTCCTACTGAAAATGCGTCTGAATCCTGAGAGCTGAATGAGAGCAACTGCTGAAGCAATGCTAAAGTAGTTCGAGCAATTGCTGAAGTAATGCTAAAGTAGCTCAAGCAATGGCTGAAGACAAAAAGGAGAATCTGTAAGCTAGAGGTTGAATGGTATGAAATGGCTTAAAAAGGCCTAAATTGTTGTTAGAAACAGCACAAAACTTTACAAAAATGTACACATGTACAAAACAGAAAAAATATTTAATTTGAAAGCTAAATGGCCTAAATTGGCCGGAAAAAAAACCTGACAAAGACCAAATGTACAATCAAGACTTGTAATGTCACACCTGAAAGGGATTAATGACACAATGCTAAAATAGTTGGGGAAGCAGGTCATATTAAGTAAAGTACAGTGCTTTGAAAAATTAGAGCTGAAGTCCATTAGCTGCAAAAGTTGAGAACTGAAACATGTTTTTGAAACAGTTAAAAGCCAAATTATTTACTGGCAAAGGTGGAAGTAGCAATAAAATGCCCTAAAAATGTGAAGTAATGATGTTGAAAGATAAACTCCATCCTAAACAGTAGAAACTTTAGTTGAAGTCATCAATAAGCTAAATAATTGCTTAATAGCTGGAAGTGTTGTGAAAAGTTTAAAGTTTGGACAAAGTCTGTAGCTGAAAATATCCTCAAGTAGTTGAATTTCAAGACACTGAAGTTTTGAAGGATTTGAACATCATCTCCATTTACTAACAATGTAAAAAATATTGCAGAAAAAGTTCATTAATTCAAAAATGATGAATATTATCAAAAAGTTGAAAGAGAGGATACATCTTCTGAAGAGGCTGAATGTTTTGATAGTTGAACGGTTTATGTAGCACAAGGTATGAAGGAGTAGTTAGGTGTCACAAAAGAAAAATAAGAAGAATTAAAGCTGCAAGCAGCGATGAACGGGCCCTCACACTCCCATGCAACTCATCATCACCGATCCACATGTTGATCGAGTGAATTCCCTAGTAGGAGGTCGTTAAAGTACGTGACCCCCAAAAGGCAAAAAAGGTGCCAAAATTGCACATTGAATTTTAAATCAAAATGTAATGTTCCACGGATTCCAAACCATTCAGCATAAACTCACCATTTAAGCAGGGATGCATCATGTAGGTGTGCTGCATACTGGAACCAAGTAACCATAAAGTATGTCAGATTTATAACCACTTCCTTTTTCAAAATTCTGCATATTACCATGAGGTGGCACTATGACTATTACCCAAATATGATCATGGATGTGTGTTCAGGGTGGGACTCTTGTCAAACCTATAAGGGTTGGGGGAAGTTTGGAATGAGCGTGATTAGAATTTTCATGGCGAATGAAATTTCACCACGCCTTTGACAAAAATGCAAATGCTCTTCAGGGTAGCATTGCTCCTGTCAGAAGATGAGGATAAACCACCAATGATCTTGAAATTCGAAAAATGCCTCATTGACCTTAAAGCCACTTCCTGGTTCGTAGTTAATTCACTGCATGCTAAGTGAAACGTTAAAATTGCCAATCAAGGATCATCAGCATCTTCAGCAAAATATTTTGTGACCCTTTTTTTGCGTGCCAGGTCAAAAATGTAGGAATAATAAAGAAAATGAAAATCATAATGTCACATGTTGCCATGAGGTTGCGCTATGAGTATTACTAAATATGGACATATAGGTCTGTATGAATGGGCCATGGGGCTGGCGGAGTTATAGCGATTTGAATTTTCATGGCGAAGGATCAAAATTCGCTGCGCCGCCACAGGAAGGCCATTCCAGGAAAAGTCACAGTTTTGACTTGAGTGCTTCATCAAGTTGTTAAGCATTACCTGAGCATGTCTGGGTCAAGATACAAGCAACCAGCTATGGGCAGTATATCAAAGCATAAAACTGGACACTTCCTGTTTCCACAAGGGTGTGCTATGAGTATCGCCGCACACCATGTTGATCGGATGAATTCCCTAGTAGGAGTTCGTTAAAGTACGTGACCCCCCAAAAAAAGGCCCAAAATCCACATGATTCAAATTGCTGGGCTTCCTGTTTGGTTTAGACTATGGCTGCCAGAGACTTTTTTGTAAGTTTGGCCATGATACATATGGGTACCAATTTTCATGCATATAGGTAAAACCACTGGGATGTGGGTCAAAATTATAGGAGCCTCTATTGAGCCATTTTGCCACGCCCATTTGGGAGACCCATAAAATATCGAAACTTTTGCCAGACCGGAGGCATGTACAAATTTTCCTGACTTTTCAAGCATGGGAAAGTCCCCTAAAAGGTGATTTTGGTTCCGGAATAATAATAATAATAAACATTTGAAAAACAATAGTGTCTTCGTACCGGTCGGTGCTCAGGCCCTGATAAAGATTTGGATAACATTAGTGTGAATGCCTCAGCATTCACTAATAAGTATGCAGAATAATAATATATGCCTTCAGTGCTATTCCATTGCAGGTACATAGGAAATAAATATTCCCTCACTAGCCCTTTGACTATGTCTGGTACATTGAAATGCTTCGACACAGCCTACTGTTCTAGGGCTAGAACAAAAGCAGAGGCATTTGCTAGATCTATGAATGCCACTTGTAAGTCTCTTCTTTCTTTTGCTGACAGAGTTTGATGCCAGATTATGCGTGTGTGCTCCAAGCATCCAGAAAAATGCTTGTTTACCTCTAGAGGTAAACACGATTCATTGTGCCTATCTTTATTTGTATTCACTCTCTAGCTCCCTCCTGCTTGTTTTTTCAAGTGCCACTTCTCTCTCTACTAAATAGTGCATTGGTACAGATCCAAAATAAAAACTAGATTAAAATCTGCCCTAGCTCTTTCCTTTTTCTGTTGTTTGTCTGAGTAAGCACATTGAATAATCCCCTGTTGTTTTGTTCTCTCTTTCCAGGTGCGAGGTTACCCCACGTTGATCATCTTCAGGGCGGGGGACCAGGGTGATGAGCATCATGGTGGGAGGGACCTGGAGAGCCTACACAACTTTGTGATGAGGCAGGCGAGAGATGAGCTGTAGAAACAGTAGTCAGTGCCTACAGTGCATAACTGGCCAGTAGGACACCACTCTCTCTCATACACTTGCCAGACCTTTCTTTATCTATCTCCAATCAGGTTCTCTTCAGAAATGAATCAGCCAATGGTAGACTGAAGCAGTCTGTTCTTTTTCCGGTCTTCAAGGATGGAATGATTCAGTAGAGTGTTAGGGATGTCAGTGTATTTCTCATTGTTGCTACCCATCCCCAAATCTCCTAATATGTAGAGTACTATTGTATTGGTTGGGTCTGCAAATGAAGTAATATGTCTGACATCCTCTTTGCAAGCACTGCTAAATGATCAGAACCAGAATTTCTCACATGTAATGGTTATTAAAAAGGTAGCACTGAAGGCGTTGGACTTTTTTTAAATGCAAAATTTTATACATGGGATCTATTGTTAAATCATGAGCCATAAATGTTAGAGTACTGTCACTCTAAACGTAAAAGTTTGCGTCACCCAAATGTGAAGTTGAGTGTTAAGTTTGGGTACCTCATATCCATGCCAGTAATGGCCTATCTGAGTTAACTCTCAGGGAGTGTGCAGGCTAGAGGGAGTTCTGACAGGCTTTATTGTTGTCACAGGAGTCTGACATGGCACAGGGAACTGACTTGATATTTCTCTTCATGACTAAGAGGAAACTAAAGATCAGATCAACTTCTCATGCTCATTGAAATGTAAAGAAAATTGATAAAGATCTTAGTCATGCACCCTACCCCATTTCTGACTCCTGTGGTCTCAGCCACCCCTCTCAGCTCCTCCTAGGATTGAGGCTCTCAGGCCTGGACCATGTTGCTCTATATCTCTATTACTGAACAACTTAAAGGTTACTTCTGCTTCTGTTTTATTTTATTTTTTTGTTTCATCATAAATAGTCATCAGCAGGTCATTTGGAACAGTCACAGCTTTGTGTAAAGTTGTTCCTTAGAAGTGTCCCTTCATGATTGTCAAATACAAAAATCAAAGTACAAAAAGGGTGAATGTAAAGGCATTTATATATTTCTTAGGCCAGGTTCACATACAAAGGTGTTGGGAACCAACAGATGGAACAGGAGGGGACAGTTGGGTCTCTTGGACCTAGTAGTGAGATTTAAGACACAAGTAGCAAGAGTTCATGATCTCATAAGAAGGAGTACTCTGTACTTTGATTGCCACTGAACCTCAGTCATAGCTCTTGGTGACGGCACTGTTCTCCTTGTCATCTTTACAAGGAAAGAAATGGTTTTGTGAAAGCTCTTGCACATGTGAGGTTAGAACTGAAAGAACACTAACTCAAGTTTAGGGTCAAGTGGGTTGGCTAACATATCACCTCTTTGACTGTGATTGTGATTTATTATTAGTCTTAGTATCCTATATACTGTATCATAACCATCAACCCACAAATCCAACTTGTACACAGAGTTAATTTATTCAACAGTCAAACGCCAAAACAATGTAATCTGTCACCACCGTGGTTGTAATATTATTTGCAGTTTTGCCAGTAAAAGTTGAAGTCTTTTTCACCACACTTTTCAGTGATTATTTGATGCAAACTGCCTCCACCTGCAAGGCCATGCTCATTCCAATACAAATGCTCTTTGACCCAGGTTAAGTGAAAATTACTGCACAATGCAGGGTACCATTCATTGTATCATCCATGTAAACAAACAGTCAGAGACACAGCAGTTACTTGTCAGTAATTGTTTTTTTATGGATAGCACATGGTCTAAAGAACTCAAGTGACAGAAGTCTTTTTCCTTGTGAGTCGTGGGTTGTGCACTACCCATGGATTTTGTACAAAAACAACTAAATGATGGCAAGTTGTACCATGAGATTTCATAATAAACTTTTTTTTTTTTTTTCAAAAATAAGTCTTTTCATGTGTTTTTTGCATATCTTTATTAATAAGGTATGTGATTTTTCTTCTTAATAAAAGGTGCAATAAATAAAGTAAAAATGTACAAGTATTTACAAAAAAACAGTCTAAACATGATCACAAATGTAAACAGCAGCTCACCAGAGGTATATTTTGTAATTTCTGATTGGTTAGGCATGTACGGTATTTTGATTCTTACTGGTATTAGTTTTTCATTAAAATATGTAAAAAAAAAAATAAAATAAAAAGTGTGTGTGTGTGTGTGTGTGTGTATGTATGTATATATGTATATGTATATGTGTATATACAGTGCTGCTTGAAAGTATGTGAACCCCTTGAGCAGTTCAGATGTTTCTGTTGTTTACCATGATTTTATTTTATCATCACCAGTTTTTATGTATGAAATGTCAGATATATGTTTCATCAATTGCTTGTACTTTTTTAGTGGAACTTGTTTAAGTAGCCCAAAAACTACATGAAACATGGAATTAGTGCATGTGCAAAAGTAAGTGAATCCCCAGCTGCATTGGTTAAGTCAAGCAGGTAACAGACTCAGGTGAAATACATTTGAGTGCTTAATTAATCATTTCAGTAGACCAATGAACTGAGACATCCTTGGGAAAGGGATTGGCCTGCACTAATTAAAAGAGAGAGGAAACCAACCAAACCAACTTGGTCCCATACACATCAACAATGCCAAGAGGAAAGGAGATATCCGAGGACATGAAGAAGAGGGTAGTGACAGCCCATCAGTCTGGGGAGGGATATAAGACCATCTCCAAAAGATTCCAGCTCAATCCATCGACTGTAAGACAAATAATTTACAGATGGAGGGCCTTCAACATGACAGCAACTCTGCGTAGAAGTGGGCGCCCATCAAAACTATCACCCAGAGCCACCAGAAAAATAATAAGTCAGGTAAAGGCCAACCCACACATCACCTCTACAGAGTGCAACCTTCTCCTGGGTAAGCTCTGGACAAATGTGCATGCGTCTACGATCAGACGAAAATTGAATAGCCATGGCATTCATGGGAGCGGTTGCTAGAAGGAAGCCTCTGCTCTCAAAAAAGAACAAAAGCTGCCCGTTTCAACTTGTGCCAAGAGCATTGGACAAACCAAGGCCTTCTGGGAGTCCACTTCTCTGGACAGATGAATCTTAAAGTAGAGTCATTTGTCACAATCAAAACCGCCATGTTTGAGAAAAAGCCAACACTGCAAATAAGAAAAAACCTCCTCCCTACAGTGAAGCATGGTGTGGTGAAATGTGAAATCTGGGGCGCTTCTCTGCTTCTGGAACTGGGCGACTCCATATTATCCAGGGAACCATGAATGCTCTCAGGCATATCAACAAAATTCTTGACCAGAATCTCCTGCCATCAGTCAAACAGTTGAAGCTGGACGAAAATGGATATGCAACAAGACAATGACCCGAAGCATTCAGCCAAAACTACAAGAGAATGGCTTCAGAGAAAGAGGATTCGTACTCTGGATTGCCCAGTCAAAGTCAACAGATCTAAATCTATTAAATGTTGTGCAGACCTGAAGAAGATGTACATGCCAGATGTCCTTCCAACCTCTCTTCAACTGGCTGAGTTCTGCAAGGAGGAGTGGGCAAAAATGCCCATCAAAGCAGATGCAAAGACTGGTTAGATTACAGAAGATGTTTTTGAAGTAATGGCTGCAAAAGGAGGAGCCACAAGCTTCTAATGGAAGGGTTCACATACTTTTGCACATGTTACATTTCAGTGTTGTGACAATAAACCACATTTGTTGAACTACATAATGGAAAAATATCTCTTTTTGGTGTGTTGTCCAGTATTTGGAAAGTGTGCATTACAAATTAGGATTTGATGTCTTTTAAATACAGGTTCTTTTAATGTTTTTTACAAAAAACAAGACCATGTCTGGAAGTTCACATACTTTCAAGCAGCCACTGTACTATTATGTATATATATATATATATATATGTGTATATATATATATATGTGTGTATACATATATATATATATATGTATATATATATGTGTGTATATATATATATATGTGTATATATATATATGTGTGTGTATATATATGTGTGTATACATATATATATATAATATAAAGCTCACAGTAACATGTTCAATTGGCAGGAACGTTGCCACTGGACAGAAATCTCAACATAACTTTACCCTCTGGGTTGAAAAAGTAAAGGGCTAATTTCAGTAAGATGGCACAAAAACTGTTCTAACACCTGTTTTTGACTTGCTAAATGTTTTTCCACAGTCTCTTGAGTTGTCAGGGGTGGAAGTGTTTGTTAACTTTGTGCAACATGGAAATGGCCATGCGGTGTGTCGGAGGGATAAGGCTGTATTCTTCATGTCTTTGGAGAAAAACATCAATTTAGCCAGATTATGCATCATGTTGAACCAGTCTGGTGAAAAGTAGCTCAGTGTGAGCCTGGCAAATATTGACATGGAGGGAATATTTGGAGAGGTGTGCTACTAAAATTGCATGTGGTCACTTTGGTTCAGTCCATATTATATTTTAGGAACGCAAATATAGCTTGAGAAGAAAATACATCAGGAAATCTGAAACTTCTAACTCCAATGCATAATTCAGTATTAGATTGTTTGGGTTAACATTTGCACCTAAAAGGAAACTGGGCTTGTATTTTCCTATCTACTTCAAGCCATTTATACAGGTTTTGTCATCTGACCAGGTGAAGGCACTGGCTACTTCTGGTTTTCAGTGCTGTGATATCATAGCCAACTACCTGGGGTCATGCATTGTAGAGAAGATGTTCATTAGGAATTATGTGAGCCTCTTCTGAGAGCTGATCCACTGTGTTTTATATATATACATATATATGTGTGTGTGTGTAGGAGCAGGGAAAGAAAGCAGCGCTTGGATTGGTTCAACAATAGTTCAGTTTTGGCCTTGCCCTCTTGGTGAGGGAGAAGGTGCAGTAGCCTCTTAGGCATTCATACACAGAATTCCATAAACACATGTACAGACTTAAACACTCCCTCCCCTCCCCAACACACACACAGTCACTCATTCACTTGCAGACCCATGAAAGAAAAACTCCACTTTAATGCCAGTAGAGAAGGTGATAGACGATTTGGTGACTCAACCTTGCAGTAGGGTGAAGTTGCCTCTAGATGACACCCATATGGTTTCATTTTTGCAATGGTCCCCACTTAGGCCTTTATGGTGGATGGTTATCAGATTGATATTTTAAGATGTCTAAGATTATTTAGAACATGTAAATAATCTTTCAGGGTGGACATTCTTTGCAGGCTGAGAACTGCAAACTGGTGTCTACTTGAGGTCAACCTCACCCAGGAGTCACTGTTCCACTTACAGCCCTTTGCCAACCCATTTATCAGTCAAGCATTACTAGTACTTGATGTTGTCAGTGGCAGCCACAGGCCCGCACCACCATGTTCTTGTATTTCTTAAGTATGACGTTGGAGTTGTCATCGAAGTAGAGCACTGAGATGGCGTGGAGTTTGGTGGGGGCGCAGCATGGTTTCGGTACATTCTCAGGGTTCATCAGGTGCACCTGAAAAACATAAGAAATACTTAAAACCACTTAAGGCATCAGTCTGCATTTAGCATATAGCACTGATTCCCATAAAACCACACAGTACACATTCAAAATGAACTAAATATGCATTATTGCATAAACACAGTAGCCTATTTGTGGATTGGCTGTATTAGAGCACTAGAGTGGAAAGTAGTAATTAAAAAGATAAGCGGTACACTATAAGGTGTCTGCAGCAATTCAGTATCTCACCTTCATTGAGCTGAGGAATTCATAGGAGACAGATTTTTTAAAAAGAATGGTCAAAGTCCAAGCAGCAGAATCTTGACTTTTACTCCCAAGAATGGGTCATGCTCCAAAACCACTGCATTCCTCATAATGCAACAAGCCCAATTTAAGATAACTCTAATGACATCATCAGGATCATTTTCTCAGTCTTTACACAATCCATATAGAGCAATAAAAGACATACAACTTTTTTTTCAAAGTGAAGTAGTACTCTTCATGCTAAGCAGCTGAAATACAGTATATATTCATTGATCTTGAATCCCTTAAAAAGTCCAGACAGACTCTAACACACTACCAAACAAAATAAACGTACTAACAAAGGATACTGGCAGCGAGGTGAGACTTAAACCCACAATAACTTCTCCTGTACTGTGTAAAGAATGTAGTCAGCATGGTAAATTCTTGTAGGTTGGTCTTACCAGTGTCTGTACAATGGCATGGTTGGTGGCATTCATGTGGGCATTAAGGGGAAAGGAACACTCTCCATCACAGTAGTTGGCTGCGTAGCCTTCAGGAGCAATTATCCAGTCCTTAGAGAAACACAGTTAACATAAAAAGTACAGTCACAGTTTATCAAATCGATCAAATCAAGTAAATAAAACACCCTAATACATCAATATCTAGTCTATTAGAGAGGTCTATTCTTTGTTTTGAAATAATAGAATGGTGTCTGGTTTTATAATTCCACCATATTTGAGTGCTTATCTTTGTAAACAACTGGATGAGTGGTGTATATTAATGCCAATATTCATTTTGTAATACAGCCATTGTAGATAGTTATACCTTGAAAATTGGATGCAGCATTGTCCTACAGTTGACTCCTTGACTCCACTTGACTCCTGTAGAATATCTTTCACTTTCACAAATTCTCTGCATGTTTTAAATCTTTCTGACTTGTTTTCAACTAGTGTACCTTCCTGTCCGTCAATAATGTGTCTCCGTCTTTCTCTTCTTACTTATCTGCCTGCTCCCTTCCCATGTGCCCATGAGTGTTTGTGAGAGAGAGAGAGTGAGAATGAGAGAGAGAGTTTGTATGCTGTCTCCGTCTAGATGTCAGTGCTGTGTTAACATCTCACTGTTTGTTTTCTCTTGTTCTCTTCTATTTCTTCCTCTGTTTCACACAAATACACACAAGACTTATGTCTGCTGCCTCAAAGCTACTTTAAGTGACTTTCTCTTCTTTTTCCACCCTTGCTTGTTAGTACCACTTCCACATCAAACAGTGGTGTTTATAATGTGTGTATAAATGATATAGTGGCACTGTCATCAAACTGAAAAAACTGACTCAAAGTAACATTCCGATAGATGTGAGTGTGCAAACTTTGTACATAGTAGACATGTATGTATAGAAAATAACTTGATGATATAAAAAATACACAGTCATCACTGTCATATGCAGATTTACATCCAGTGTCATGTATCTATGGATCATCAACATACCAAATTCCATTACACAAACTCAAATGTTTTTCTTAGGTTGTAATGTTGTTTGAGTAAACATTGATTAGGATATCACAGTGTGAGGATCACTGGTTCAACACGTGTATTAGGACTTGTTTGGCTCAATGGAGTAAGGAAATGTTTGCTACCTGCCAGCCCAGCTCTCGGAAGCTGACATAGAGCTCATGTCTTCTGCATGCTGTTTTCTGATCACTGTTGTTGTAATCTGCAAAAGAAAAACTGAAATCATCAGGAAATTCTATCTTTAAGATGCGCACAGACCTCTTGTCAACCAACATGGCTCAATGTAGCCCTCAATGTATGAATGTGTATCTCTACATGACTGAAGGGACATCAATTAAAACACACACAAATGATGTTTAAAAAATTCCCAATTAAATCCTGTGGTAGTAATGCATTGCACTCAGAATTTTATTTATATATCCCTATTTCACAAATTAAAAAATACACTTAATACTTTTATCAAATTCCTTCAAAGTTCAAGTTCCAGTTGGTTGTTTGTTGGTACTAAACTAAGTGCAAAGTTAATTATAAAACTGTTAATCAAACATTTTAGTACAAAAACCTAATGGAGATTGCCTATTTTTTGTTGCTTTATCTGTCACTTGTCCTTAGGATTATAATATGAGTTTTTAATTCCATGTTTAGCCTTGTAGAGTCACCGCTCAAGTTATTAGGCTACAAAAACTTTATACATTGCAAGAAAAAAATTGAATTACCGCATTGCAGTTGTGTGCCTCCACCACTCTGATAGATTTCAAGTTACATCCCTGTTTATCCAGAAACATTTAAAATATAAACCATTGGTGTGAAATTTTGTCATAATTTCTATGTGAATTCTTGAGTTATGGCTAAAAACGTGTTTTGTGAGGTCACTGTGATTTTGGCCTTTAACCTTTGACCAAAATATAATCGGTTTGTCTTTGAGTCCAATTGAATGCTTGTGCCAAATTTGAAAGGATTCCCTTGAGGAGTTTGCGAGATATTGTGTTCACAAGGACAAAATCATGTTTAGTGAGGTCACTGTGACCTTGGCCTTTGAACTTTAATGACCAAAATTGAATCAGTTCGTTCTTGAGTCCAAGTGAATAATTGTGTAAAATTTGAAGAAATTCCAACAAGGCATTATTGAGATATCGCATTCACAAGAATGGGATGGATGAAAGGACAGGCAGATGGACAATGAAAACATAATGCCTCTGGCCCGGGCTATCACTGATGAGAAGGCATAAAACTGTACATAATAAGAATCAGGACATGTCTGTAATTGTGTTTGTAATACACAACAAGCACATCCTTCCTCTATTGCAGGTTAGTGACAAGAAGCAGAAGATGACTCAGCAGGAATCAATCTGTGACCAACCAACCCACCCAACGAATCAGAATACGGCTACAAACAAACCAACCAATCACAATACAGCTAGAAATCAACAAATTAGAATACAGCTACAAACCAATTTATAACAATCAGAATACAGCTACAAACTTACTAACCAATGAGAATAAAGCTACTAAAAGAACTAAGCAATGAGAATATGGCTACAAATTTACCAATCAGAATACAGCTACAAATTGACCAATGAGAATATAGTTACAAATCGACGAATAAGAATATGGCTACAAACCGACCAATCAGAATAGAGCTACAAACCAACCAATCAGAATAGAACTACAAATCGACCCTTCAGAATACTGCTATAAATCAACCGATCAGAATATGGTTACAAATGAACCAATCAGAATACAGCTACAAATCGACCAATTACAGTACAGCTACAAAACAGCCAATCAGAATATAGCTACAAACCAACCACTCACAATCCAGCTACAAATCAACCAACCAGAATAAATAGAATAAATGAATAGAAATAGAAAGAAACTGTTCGCATTCAATACATAAACAAACAAATAAACAAAAAAACACACAGGCTTATGTCCATGCAAGCAAATCGAATTTCCAGAAGAGTGTGTGTGAGTGTGTGACTGTTAGACTAACTCACCAACAGCAGCCTGGTTTGTCAGTTGGAGCTGGTCACACACACACACACACACACACACACACACGCACACACACACACACAAACACACAAAAATGCCCTGATATTTATTTGTTTAAGGGCCAAATCCTCTTACCCATTCATTAAAATGGGAGAGTTGTAATTAAAGTTCACCAGCACTAGTTGCATTAAGATTTCAAAACAAATTTCATTTTGAACAGAAACACCAATCGCATTGTTTTAGCTGGATTCATCTGAAATATAAAAAGAGGCAGAGACAGGAAAAGCATATTGGTCTTGTCACGTGGAGTCATCTCAGCTTGAAATAAATGAGAAGCGAGGGAGAAAGAAATGGCTCATGGCACTGACACTGCCTGAGTTTGGGCGTCAGTTTCTACCACCTGTGCTAAAAATATGCAGGTGTTCTACAATAATAAGGCACTTTAGGTTTAAGAGCACCTACCTTCTAAACATGTTCTAAAATAATACAAGAAATGTCTACACTTAGTTATATAGCACTCATACGGATTACTGTACAACACGGTATAATGCCAAGTGTTGTCTCCTAATTGAACGAATCAGATACAGATAACATGTGATCAATCTTTTTCCTAAACAAGAGCATGTTTCTTTTTACTGCAGCAACATCTAAACATGTAAAGATGTGTTAATATGATAAGATGGATTAATTCCGATAGTCAGTGACCATTTATTGAACTTGAACTGATGTTTATAGAGAGAGAAAATGACACATTACAGTACTGCAGAATGGTAGGGCTTTCATAGAGTTAATCTATAGAGTTTTATGAGTCTGTACTGGAATATGAACTGTTGGGGTTTTAATAACTTTGGGTTTAGCATCAGTGTGCCGGCAAACATTGTTTCCATATGTAACATAACATGTCCCTTACTATACACACATTCTCACAGACACCCCCTACTTGCTCATCTACGTCTTGCTACAGGCAGGGTTATTAAGTCTGATCATCTCATTTCAATTCTTTCTCCAGATTCCAGTCTGTACAAGCACCTTTTTTGGTATGAACAAGATTGATTGAGACAGAATCATTCCTATAAAAATTCTGTTTAAATAATTTTTTTTGTAGTAATCAAGTAGTCTCCTTACAGTGTTCATTTTGGGTCTTCTCCTACATAACAAACATATAGTAAAAGATTTTTTAATTGTAATAGTCTACTACTGCTAGTTGTCATATGCTTAGGCTGTCTTCTAAATTATTTGTACAAGGTGTTTGGACTGACATAGCCTGTAACATCCGTTAATTACCTGTTCTCCCAACTCAAGTTCACTGTGTGTGTGTGTGTGTGTATGTGTCTATGTGCTTGCTGTGCACACTTACACCATGTGATATCTTGGGATTTAAACAGTGTGTAATTATTGTCCCCGCTCTCTCACAGCAGCAGGTGTGTAAGGTGAGTGAGGTGTAGTGCTTTCACCCTGACCATTCAGGCTAGTCACAAGGTATAGCACAAGGTATAGCATTTGGCAACATATTTCCCGTCTCACAGACACACATCTATACACAACTCATTTTCCTTGCACCTCTTGGCCTTCAAAGCCATCAGCATTTACAATTTGTGGGACTCTTTAAGAGCAACAAAGCTGATATTTACTATGGGCTTTCACTGAGTGTAAAGGCCCAGATTTGTGTTGTCCATGAACCACATCTCCCCTTCCTGCCTGTAAAAATTTAATGCCACACAGTTACCACTGAGCTCCAGCTCCGTTGAGGCCTCCATTAATTTATTTTTGCTTTCCTTGACAGAGCGTGAGGGTGGGAGGGAACTTGAAATACTGAGACTACATATAAGGGTTCTAAATGTATAGTACTATTATGCTAATTAGTTTTTGTTTTCAATATATTTTTTGTCGATTGATGTTTTTTATTCTACGTCATTGTTTCGTCTGACGATGTACACAAAGGAAAATCTCCTAGCTTTAAAGTTGACCAGATATGAAGTTAAACATCCCATACCGGCTGAGCTGAAGAAGCCATACCGTGGATGCAGAGCCCAGGCTAAGCTAAAGGCTAGGAGATGGAGATATAAGCCTTTTCTACCATCAATCCTCATGGGAAATGTCAACTCCCTGGCTAACAAGTGTGATGAACTGGAGGCACTTGTGAAGATACAGCGAGCATATTCTGAATGTAGTCTAACATGTTTCACGGAGACCTGGTAAAACGACAACACTCCCTACCGTTGTGTGGATTTACCTGGCTTCACTGCAGTACGAGGGGACAGAGATGCCGGAGCAAGAGAAAAGAGGTGGAGGACTGGTTCTGCTTGTGAACAATAGATGGTGCAACCCTGTTCACATCACAGTGAAGGACGGGGGGATTTTAACCATGTCACTCTCACCTCTCATGTGACTGGCTTCACTCAGTATGTTGATTGTCCCATAAGGGAAAATAAGACACTAGATCTGTTGTATGCAAATGTCAAGGAGGCCTACACTGCTTCAGCTCTACCACCACTTGGAAGATCGGATAATAATCTGTATTTTCTTGAGCCTTCCTACAAGCCCTGTGTACTGAAGCAGGCTGCAACCGCCCGCTCATTCAGGAACTGGACCCCGGAGACCAGAGAGTGTCTAAAAGACTGTTTTAAGAGCACAGATCGGAATGTCCTGTTGGAGTCACAGGAAAATGATAAAAGCAAGGACCCTGACCTTGATAGAATGGTTGAATGTACCAATGACTACATTAACTTCTGTATGGACACTGTAATCCCAGCAACAACTGTACACTGCTTTCCAAACAACAAACCCTGGATCACCAGTAACATCAAGACCCTCCTCAACCAGAGGCCTTCAGGGATGGAGACAGGGAGAAACTCAGGTCTGTGCAACATGAGCTGAAGAGGACATTAAAGCAGGCGAAGGAGGACTACAAAAAGAAAGTAAGGAAGCTGCAACACGAGAGAGGTGTTGAAGGGGATGAGGACCATCACTGGCTATAAGGACAAGAACAGCCAGGCAACATCAGGTGATGTGGACAAGGCCAATGTGTTCAACCTATTCTACAACAGGTTTGACACAGCCTCACCTGTTCTCTCTCCCACTGCTTCAGGTGCAGCTTCTCCTATGGCATCTCCTCCACAACCTGACACTACAGCTGCAACTCCCTCCACACTGGAGTCAAGTCTCCTGTCCTTTACAGCGGAGGCGGCGAGGCTACGTCTTGGAAAG